AAACACCTTTGGCTATTATAAGCTGAAAGTTTGATATCAGCCAGAGTGGAAATATAAATCGAAATTACCCATTTGTTTCTCCTAGCTCTCAATGACTCCAACACTGAGATTCCCACATGTGAAATTTCATTCCTTCAAATGTAAAAGAAGAAAAGTGCATTTTCTCATCATGCTGCCATCTTCATGGTGTAAAATAAATATGAAAACTCTAGCTGGCAGAGTTTGATGGCTTGTAACTGTCACTTAAATAACACGGAAACCCTTACTGAATGATATGTGCATTCCGACAGCACTGCGTATCATGTTAGCATGTTTTGGTAGACAGCGACAGAGTACGGTCACCCTACAACAGTAAGTGTCTGAACACGACCATTATGGTAGGATCACCTACCAATTTTTTAAAAGCTGAAGATTTTAAATTGTGAAAAGTGACATCATAATGTTGAAGCTTATATGAGATTTTAGTGAATGGATTGAGTCATTGCACCTGAAAAATGTGGTATAGAGATATAGTGAGAGCTATAAAGATCCATCTATCTCAAATATATCTTACAACTACCAAGTCAATGGTGGACTCCACTTTAACACGACACATTTTTTGCATGGTTACACTTAATATTGTTTACAATAATATTTTATCTTCTTATAAACCATTATTACTGGGTGCTACCGTATAGATTTCCACAACACAATGAGGGGAATTTATCAAAAATGGAGCAAAATCTGGGAGCAGTTGCCCAGAGCAACCAATCAGCTTCTCTCTTCAGTTTGTTCAGTTTCCTGGGGCATGCCCCTTTCATCAGGTTTCAGGTTCTGATGAAAGGGGAGTGCCCCAGGAAACGCGTCAATGCTCACAATCACAGCCGTTGCCTACGTATCTGGACTGAGGAATGTGAAATATCCATCTGGATGATTTGTATTACCTATCACAATTGAAACCTTTACATGCAGCTACGTTTGTGAGTAGCCCTTGTCTGTTTTTAAAGTTTTGAAATAAAATCAACAGTACGTCACAGGATAGGCACTTTTTTTCTGTTTGTTTCTGAGGAGGAGCAGCACCCCTGTGACAGTCAGATCTGAAAATAGTTGTCGGCTGGTAGCGCCGGAGGAACTTTGTTTTTTGTACCATAGGAGCTAAAGACGAAAGGGGCCATTCCCCTCTTTTGAATCATCCAGCTGTGTGTAAGTTCTGAAAAGCAGATCACATTAAGCCTTATTCAAACCAAAGGGGGTGGCATACTAACTTGACTGCATCATCTCCTGGCTACAAAGTGGTAAATATGAAAGTCATATTCAATGGTTCAGATTTAGCTTTTTAAAGAAATAAAATACAATGTTTAGATTTAAGTTTAGAAACCGTACATTTTAAAATCATTTACACATGTTCTTAGATGCTCATGAAGGATTTCATACTATTGGCTGGCTCCATGTTAAAGTGACACTAGACGCAGGAGTTAAATCTCAAACATGCATTCAAGTACCCTAAATATTAACAATAATGGGCCTTAGTTGTTTATCACTCAGCTGTAGATCCTCAAATCATCTCTAAATGGTGCCGACACCGTCCTTCCTTCTGGAGGGTGGCTACTTTTCTTCCCCATGGTCCCTCTATATATAGTAAAAGTAGTCACCACTCCAAGCTCATTCCTGTGATGGACTACAATCTCATGTTTAGGTTACTACTTTGTATTGAGATTGTAGTCCATCACAGGAATGAGCTTGGAGTGGTGACTACTTTACTATATATACAGGGACCATCGGGAAGGTACTCACCTCATAGTTCTCCTTTAAATGCATTTTTAAGATTTAACTCCTGAGTTTAGTGTCACTTTAAAGTGAATACTACTTTGCTTTGGAGAAATCTGAACAGAAGCAGATGTAGCTGAAACCCCAAAAACAAACAATATCTATTCAAGGATTTGCGTTAATGAACAATTCGTAATTCAGTGACTTGGCCAAATCCTCCCTAGTTTTCATCAGGGTTTCCAGACAATGGAAAGTATTTGTACATGTCAACTTCAGCTGCCTTTTTTTGTGATCAGGATCTATAGTAATAACGTCCAAATGTCCACAGTGTTTACTCTAAAAGACCCTAGCAACAGTAAAACAGTAGCTTTATACAAATAACGAAATAAAAAACAGATTCCTAAACATTATTTCTCTACAACTCTTAGCAAAGCACAGCTAGTCAGTAAAAAGAATCTGCTAGACCCAGGGGTTGGTTAAAACTCATCTCTGGGCAAGGCTCTGCCCTCTCACCCATTCACCAGCTTAAAATAAAATATATAATCTGAGGCTCTTTATTCAGCCAACTCTTCCGTCCGAGTATTTTGCCAACATCACTTCCAGGAAAGACCCATGAACCAGTGCTGCCATCTGTACCTCCGCCAACAAGTCGCCTCTGATGATCCAGTACAGCCATCTGTATCTCCTCCCAAGTCGCCTCTGATGACCCAGCACTGCCATCTGTGCCTCCACCAACAAGTCGCCTCCTATGATCCAGTGGTGCCATCTGTACCTCCACCAACAAGTCGCCTCCGATGATCCAGTGCTGCCATCTGTACCTCCACCACGTCGCCTCTGATGATCCAGTGCTGCCATCTGTACCTCCACCAACAAGTTGCCTCTGATGACCCAGTGCTGCCATCTGTACCTCCACCAACAAGTCGCCTCTGATGGTCCAGTACTGCCATCTGTATCTCCTCCCAAGTCGCCTCTGATGACCTAGCGCTGCCATCTGTATCTCCTCAAAAGTCGCCTCTGATGACCAAGCAATGCCATCTGTATCTCCTCAAAAGTCGCCTCTGATGGTCCAGTACTGCCATCTGTATCTCCTCCAAGTCGCCTCCGATGATCCAGTGCTGCCATCTGTACCTCCACCAACAAGTCGCCTCTGATGATCCAGTACTGCCATCTGTATCTCCTCCCAAGTCGCCTCTGATGATCCAGTACTGCCATCTGTATCTCCTCCCAAGTCTGATCCAGTGCTGCCATCTGTATCTCCTCCCAAGTCGCCTCCGATTATCCAGCGATGTCATCTATGCCTGCACCAACAAGTCACCTCTGATGACCAAGTGCTGCTAGCTGTGCCTGTACCAAAAAGTCGCCTCTGATGATCCAGTGCTGCCATCAGTGCCTGCACCAAGGCGCCCCCGATTATCCAGGGCCATCATCTATGCTTTCACCAACAAGTCACCTCTGATGACCCAGTGCTGCTATCTGTGCCTGTACCACCAGGCCATCTCTTTATGACATCACCAAGCCTGCAGCCAAAGAGGAACCCACTGGACAGCCAATCAGAAATGTCTACATCACCCAGGCAGTGATGTGGACACCAAAACAGGTACCCACCTCCTCTCAAATGAAAAAGATAGAAGGTGAAGGATTAAGCGTGTCATGTAACCATTTAGATTAGGATTTATTTTAAAGGACAACTCCGGGCAAATTTTTTATTAACCTTTGCAGTGGGGGTACCAAAATATATCAGTACTGGATACAGTTTTTTCGGTATGGGTGCATCCCTATTTTAGACAAAAAGAAATCTATCTTGTCAGTTACTAAACATTGCTGTATGCTTTTTATTCATCACTGTCCATATGACTATCCAGAGATAGCTTAGGCCTCCCAGGCATGTGCTATTACCCGCTAGGTGCTAGTAAACCGAAAGAAAACTAGTTCATGTTTGGAAGTTGCTACCTCATGGGACTTTTTGAAACCGTCTGTGAGTGAAGCTTTCCAGGGGTTTTAGGGAATACAGTGACCTATCGCCGTTTATGTTCATTGATACCATATGTGAGTGACATGATGTAGGTCTGTCTGATGTGCATCTTATCAACCCATTATGGGCAGCCACCTAAATAATTTAAATGTATACATCCACATTTTTAACGAAGAACTCCAGTTTTTTTTCAAATGAACCCTAGCAGTGAGGCTACCCCTGCACTACAAGGGTTAAAGTGACACTAAACTCAGGAGTTAAATCTTAAAAATTAATTCAAGTATCTTAACTATTAACAAAATCTATCTTATTTGTATATCACTCGGCTGTAGATCTTGAAATCATGGGCTGGAGGAGGGGACCTAGTTCTATTACTTAACTGCAGTAAGGAAAAAAGTCAGGGTCTCCAGGCTGGCTGGGCTGTGTGGCAGAGCCGTGTAAATCTCAGAACTGGATGGTCAGAAATATAAATCCTTTAGCAGGCAAACCAGCTCCCATATATGACACTAAACTCAGGAGTTAAACCTTGAAAATACATTCAGGTACCATAACTATTAACCAAAATGTATCTTATTTGTGTATCACTCAGTTGTAGATCCTCAAATCATCTCTGAATTGGTGCTGACGCTGTCCTCCCTTATGGAGGGTGGCTACTTTTGGTCCCTGTGTGTGTGTTGTAGAGTAGTCACCGCTCCAAGCTCGCTCCCGTAATGGGAGTACAATCTCAATACAAAATAGTAAACTAAACACGAGATTGTAGTCCCATTATGGGAGTGAGCTTGGAGTCAGCACAAATTCAGAGATGATTGGAGGATCTACAGCTGAGTGACAGACAAATAAAATACGTTTTTGTTAATAGTTAAAAGGTACTTGAATGCATTTTTAAGATTTAACTCTTGAGTTTAGTGACACTTTAGGTGCTTGTTTTGGTCTAGGGGTGAAAATAAAGAAGAAGAAATACACATGATTCTTGGCCCTGCAGCAGTTCTCACCTCGTTCCCCCCTGCTCTAGCTGTGGTATGTCTCTTGGAATCCTCATGTATAATGGACCTGTATTAGAAGTGATGATGCCATGGGTACTTAGACTGCCGGACCATGGGAGAGATCAGGCTGTGGGGACCGGTCTAGTAGCCAGGCTGAATTGAGGATCAGGCAACTATATTCTCTTTATTTTTGTCCTAAGTGGGTTGCCCCACTGCAAGGCTTGGATTGAAAAAATCCTGGAGTTCTTCTTTAAGCAGCACTGACATAATAGATGAAAATAAACTACACATGTACATACCTTGATACATGGTACAGAACCGCTATACCAGTCGGAACACCTAATACGAATTTGTCAAATCTTCATTGCAGTCTTTGTGCCTGTCTGTCAACGCAGAAGTTGTGCACATTGAAACGCACTATTGAGATCCTAAAAACAGAAAGTGCAACAATTTTAGAAAATGAGAACTTGATTGTCTGTTTCATTCTTTGTAATTAAGGCAAGACATGTTGGTTTTGCTACAAAAAGCAAACCTTAAAAATAGTGCAGACATGGCCCAAGAGAGACACCTGTAAATTCCTAACCTCACTGGCTTACCACTTACCCATATCCCAAAAATCCCCTCTTAACCTCAGAACACTTTAAGTCCAAATTAAGCCCTTATCCTGACACATAAACCCGAACCAAAGAATTACACAACTTCACCAGAAGTGAATACATGCATCATTTTAGTGGTTGGTAACATACATATTTCGAAATAAACCTTCCTCAGTAATAAAAAGTTTCACCTTCCTGCTGAACATGCTTTAAGTAAAGCCAACACTCTGGCGGAACAAAGCCATACTGAAACTCCAGTGAAAGTTCTTTCTAAATGCTTGCATGAAAATATGACAATGGCAGATGCAATGACCTTTCTTTACTTGCAGCAGGTCACCCTTAGGGCTTGTTCACACCAAATGCAGACCAGATCTGCACGAGTTTCTGCACACGCAGTAACTAAACGCACAATAATGCACTTTTGGCAGTGGGGGCAGAATAGAATTCTGAGATGCATCACTAGAGCAATCACCAGCAGGAGGAAGAATGTCCTGATTCTTTAGTTAGACCTCATATAGAATACGGATTGCAGTTCTGGGGACATCTCTTACAAAAATATATATTGATATCGATTTTGAAAATAATCGTTAGCTGCAGCTCTAGATAAGATAAAATGAGTCCAGGGGCAGGCAACAAAAAATTGGCTAGGAGTTTTGAGGCTTCACTCTGGGGAAGGGTTGGCAGCCTATAGCTGTAGGACTGTATGCTTAACCTAAACAAACACTTACAGGAAAATGCCAATGAAGACTGAAGGGGGATTTAAATGTGTTCCACCAAATGTGGCCGTCCCACAAAGTCCAATTGGTTCCACCATGCAGCATCCTTCCTAGATGATAACATTTTTACCCAGTTTGCACTGACATATTTAAGGTTTTTTTTAAATGTAAATAGTTTTTTAAAAATTAAATATATAACAATTATGATAGGAGTGTAGAAATAAGTTAATGTAAGACCACACACAGACGGAATTGTGGAACACCTGCTGCCAGGAAGCTCCACGGACAGGCATCCGTTTACACTCGGTTACCCACGACTCCGGGAAAACATTGAGGGGAATTTATCAAAACTGCAGCAGACAAAATCTGGACCAGCTGTCCTCCAGATCAACCAATCAGCTCCTCTCTTTCAGATTTTTTCTGCTCCGATTTTTATAAATTCCCCTCAGTGTGTTCTGTTTCGACAGACCTGATCAGGCCAGATTGGGGGTAATCTGATGTAAATGGACACATGCCTGTTTACATCTGATTCCGCACAGACCGGCATGGGGTCTGGTCACTTCAGTTTGAAAAAAATTGGACGGACACGGATATAGCAGTGGTGACATCTGACCTATACTCCTCCAATCAGGAAGGGATCCATGCACGGCTCCCCTCCTGATCAGCCCATGTGAAAGGGGCTGAACTGCTGTGTGTATTAACAGCTGAAGCTAAAACTGCTCTGTAAAAACAGATACATGAGTATGACGTTACCAATCAGCCCAAGACGACGAGTGTAATAAAGAAGTGAGGAAATTCTAGAACTACAGCCCTACTTTCACTTCCTGATGAAAGTTGGCCAAAATTAAAGTTCCCCTTCGATGCATGCCACCACCGGGATTACCATTATACAAGTTCTGCAATTAGTGTTGGAAGAGATCAGTCACTCGTGCAAACAAAGCAGAGCCCATCAATCCTATGCCTTTGTTCATCTGGAGTCTTGGGAACGTACTACCCAAACAATGTCCCTGGCACCATGCCAGAGACTAAACACAATTATATATTGTAGTAGCAAAGCAAGACAGCAAATGATGAATAAAAGGCTGGAGCAGAGATCTCTACAGATCCAGCACCCCGCATACATTCTGTTACCAAGATCATGGATTATCTGCAAATATAAAAGCAAGATGGAAAATGCAGAAGAGCACTTTAAACCCCAAGGTGACCTAAACATAGGCGGCAAATCTGGGTTAAAACAGAAATACAAATACCCTTCCAGTGTGTGTAAGGAAGCCTATCAACAGTAAGGTGCTGGAAGCAGGAGGGGGGTGAGGAACACTGACTTCATCAGGACAAGTTAGAATTTGCATAGTAGGGCGCGTTGCTAAATGCAGAAAGAAACACATGAAGTGCTCAGGCACGCTACTTAAATAGCCAGAGATTAGTTGCACAGATGTATCACACTGCTCCCTATGTTGTGAGCTACACAAGTAGCATGCATTATGAAACAATTGCACACATATGCAGCATTGTATGATGAATTGCTGTTTCATGTTACTTGTGTAGTTCACACCATAGGGTGTGATCAATTTAATCTGGGTAGAGATTCATCGCTGCTATTAGCCATTAACAGATTTTAGCAGAGCACTTCAGCCGTTTTCAACCACGCTGTGCGACCATTCTTCTGAAGCTTCTACCCCTGGACTTAAAGAAGTATCCCGGGCACAAATGTTCTTGTCCCTTGCAGTGGGGCTACCCCTACTCTGCAAATGTTGGTCCCTGCAGCCTATTTCCTCCCCCACTCCAGTGATTGAATGTCACTCGGCATCCAATGCAGTGTATTGGACATGATGACTCACAGGGCCTTAGACCGTCAGAGTGGAGGGGGAGTAAGGGGGCAGGGAACGGTCTAATGGCCAGCTGGCTCGGAGGATCGGGTGAGTATAACCTTTTTATTTTGGTCTCTAGAAGAAAACAAGCAGTTAACCCTTGCAGTGTGGGTTTTTTTTTTCCAATTGACGTTTTTGTGCACGTGTGTATTTACTCCTCTCAGCATCCCCTGTACATCATCCCCTGTCGGTCTTTCTGTTGGATTTACCCACAACATACTAGAAATGGCCAGATAAGGCAAAACTAGAAGAAAAATCTAAGCCCAAAGTTTAACTACCATCCTCTCATGATGCTGCTCTAAGCCTACTGTCCCAGGCACTGGCATACAGGTGCTGCCTAGAAAATCCAACCCTTGTGGAGTGTGCTGACTATTGGCATGCAAGAGCAAGGAACCATTCCCAGACCACACATACTGTATATTCAGAATGCTGGGCATTGAAAGGACAGTAAAGGTGGAGGCACATGCTATCATACGCAAGTTTTTACATTATCTGGGTGTAGAACATGCATGCAATCTCCTACAGGAGCAAGAAGGAAAGAAGCAAGGCACCAGTTAATGACTGCTATCACTTTCTCTTTAACATATACAAGTGGATTAAAATTTGTATTAAGCTGCTGGTACAATGAACTCTCTGTTAATGACAAAAAAATCTACCGCCCCAAGCGATTGCCCGTCATCTGATTACCAGAATCTTCCCCTTCACATGAGCCAGTTCAACAGGATTGATCACTATTTTACATTTTCTGCCATCGTCTTTTAACATCTGTTGGCCAAAACCATCAGGAGTGGGCATCGGTCTTCGTTTTACTAAGGAGCCCATATACTACGTCTTTTATAACCTGCATTTTCCACTTTCTGATCCTTACATTCCTGAAGGCTGGCTCGAAGCAAGCTGCCCATAAAGAGGAGACCAGTCACTAAGAATGTGCTGAGTGCCCACATGAGCTGCCAGCCAACAGTTTTCACAAAATACCTTTTAGAAAACCATGTGCGATTACTTGCCTCCTATGAAGTATCTGTATACCATTTCCACTGGCATAAACACAGATGGTTGGCCGAGCCAAATGTTGTTTCTGGAACGGCAGTGCAACTGTTCTGCCTGAGGGCAGTTTACATGAGCCAGCATGTCTGTTCTATGGAAATCTTAGGAAGATAATCATTTTAAAAGACATGTTCTCTTGCTAATCATTCATAAACCTAGTATGTTTTCTCAAGATACACGATTTAGGTCTTTACTTTCTAATACTGAATACATATCACTGTTCTAGGAGCTGAAAGGACTCGGGATGCCAGATTCTCATATCTAAATCTAAAGACATGGGAAATATTCTGCACAGCGAATCCTGGGGTAGAAAACAACAAGAAGATGCAGTGAAAGGCCTGGACTGGGCCTTGGTTCACTCTGGAGCACCTAAAATAATTAGGGTTGTACCGATATATTGGTCGGCGAAACATATCAGCCGAAAATTGCACTTTTGGCATTATGCTGAAAGTGCCATTTTCTTGCCGATAGAACGGTGCATCCTATTCTATTTTCCCCGCTGAGCACTGCTCTGTGTTCCAGTGGGGAGGAGAGAAACTGTCATTTATAACAGGGGACTTTGTGTCCTCAATCTCTTTTTCTATTTTAAAAGGGAAATATCAGGAGTCTATGTAGACCCCTAATATTTCCCCGAAGCCCCTAAAAGTAAAGTAAAAAATAAACATATTTAATAAAAAAATTAATAAATATGAAGTAAAAAGTTTATAAAAAATAAATAAAAATGAAATATTTTTTAAAAAAGTGAAAAAGTTCACATAAAAACATTTTTGGTTTTCGGCCTGACATTTTTTGTTATTTCGATTTCGTTTCAGTTTTGACATTTTAATTTCGGTGCATAAAATAATTTATTTTTGCTTTTGGATTTAGATACAGTTTAATGTCTTCAGCATTTGCAGAAGGATACTTCTGGAGATCTTCTTGTAAAATGCAATTATGCTTTAGACCTTTTTTAATAGTGTAAAAGCCTACAAAGGTAGACTTATGTTATTTTATAATACCCAAGCCGGTTTTCACACTCAAAAGATAAATCGATTGGTTAATAAACTTAAACATTTGAATTAATGTTCTTAAAAGCACCTTGCAAAAGCAGCAGAGTCCTGATTGGCTAAAACTGCTAACCCTACCACTCCCTGTGTTGTCAGGTGTCAGGTAATTATGCTAGATGTATGAAAAATTACATTTTATGTCTTCTTTTAGTATACATTA